GGTCGTTTCATTCAACAATCACAAAACACGTGACGACGCACTTGAGTTCAGCCCTAGCTGCCTTCCGTCCTAATACAGGTTTTATAATCTCAAAAGAAAATAATTTTAAATGTAGGCGTGAGGAACGCAAATCACTTAACACTGAATAAATTCAATTCATTTATATAAGTGTTTGCCAACAGCAAGAAGAAAATAACAGGCAAACACTGATAATACATACAATAATAATGAAAAATATTTCACAAACAAATTAACTAAACATATACATATACGGTATTAAAAATAACAGCCAAATACAGGCAAACCCAGAATATAAACAATATTATACACAAAGAAAATAAATGAAGAAATACAAATAACAGCAAATAATCCACCTAGGGAAATGCTAATATAAATGTAAAACGATAAGAAGTACAAGGAACTAATAACCAAGCTAGATCATCTATCAAGACAACCTATCTAGATCATTTCCCTTAGTGAGAACGTGCCCTCAAGGGAGATAATGTTTATGCTAAATACGTCCAAATATTTACATACAGTGGTTTCTTAACGTTAAGCCCTGCAGTTATAATTTTGACGATGCAAATGCAATACCTCAAAAGTTTGAACAAACACTTGTCCGCATTCCCAATTTGCGGTGCTAAAGTAGGAAATAAAGGAACATAAGTTCTACATTCCAAAAATTTTAATAGCATATAATTTTTTACATTCCTAGGAGAGAAGAAGATGGGGTATGGAGAAAACTCCATAATGATGAACTTAAAAATCTGTACTCCTCCCCCAGTATTGTCAGGGTGATTAAGTCGAGAAGAATAAGATGGGCTGGGCATGTAGCGCGCATGGATGGGACAAGAGGTGTCCACCGGGTATTGGTTGGGAAGCCTGAGGGGAAGAGATCTCTGAGGAGACCTAGACGTAGATGGGAGGATAATCTCAGGCGGGATCTGTGGGAGGTAGGAGTTGAAAGAGACTGGATTTTGTTGGCCCAAGACAGGGTCCAGTGGAGGGCTTTGGTTAATTCGGTGATGAACCTTCAGGTTCCGTAAGCCATCTGGTTGGTTGGGTCCACTATTTGGGAAGCCTGAGGAGAAGAGACCTCTGAGGAGACCTAGACGTAGATGGGAGGATAATCTCAGGCGGGATTGATGGAAGATAGAAGCTGATGTGCCCTGGATTTTGTTGGCCCAAGACAGGGTCCGGTGGAGGGCTTTTGTTAATTCGGTGATGAACTTTCGGGTTCGGTAAGCCATTTAAGTAGTTATTATTCTGAAGCGTTTTTTGGGCGAGACAACTGTGGGATGCCACCAGATAGAAGGTGCGATTTGCACAGTGATCGGCCACGACCTTAACACATCTCAGCTTCTGGAAGCACAAACGAGTTACGTGCGAGATTACAAAGGGTTTTACAGAGCAAAAGACGGCCAAAAGTTTCGTATTTCAATACGAATGCTTTATACCTCTAACCGTTCACGCCATCAGGAATCAGAGTGCCGCCCGGCTGGTTTCAGTTGGCAAATAATACGAGATATTGTTCTCGTGGATTCGATGTTACGTAACTCGGCAGCATAAGGTTTTGTTCCCCAGGGAATACGAGTTGGAAGAATCACTGACGTTAAGATTATCCTGCATGATCTTATCACAAAGAGGCTGCGTAATGAAGAAATGACATTTTTAGTCATGTGGGATTTGAGGTTTTCATAGCACAACACCCCAGAAGACAACCATATTCGTTTTTAATGATGCTTATTATGAACATGAACTATTTGGCACTAACTATTAACTATTCGTCGAGATTGATTTAATCGTCGTTAATTGATTCAATTATGCCAAATGTCCACTCTGGTTGTTTCAGTTCGATTTAAATTTGAACACAGCAAGCTGAATTCGCACATGTAAATCCAAAACGTGGACAGACTGCAAAGTTTCCAATTTCAGTGTTCGTCTGTATCGGAGCTACTGCAGAATTGACTGCTCAAACTCATTCTTAACCTCAACACAAGATGGGGGTGAGTGGTCAGCGTCGTGCTGTGGTTGCACTTTACCACTGGAAATGGATCACGGTACCCATTGTAGAGGAGGCTGGGTGGGCCCCAGAGTCGGTCTGGACGCAGAGGCTGCTGGAAAAATACTCTGCTCCTGTCACAGATCGAACCCCGTTCGTGCAGTCCGTAGCTAATCACTGTACTAACTGAGCTGAATATAAGTTACAATAAATGATTAAGAAGGCAGTGTCAAATGCAAAACCCTGCATCAGGCGACCTTCTCAGCATATAAACAGGAACGAATGTCAAATGTTCATCTCTAGTCTGTCTGTTGGGAACTAAACTCAGGACTGGTTGTCATACCTGCACACATAACATTTGGGAAGCTGCCTTGACGTGCCTCAGACGTTTCGTACAGTGGGAGGAAACAGAAGTAAAATTTGCAGAAGTCATTTTGTGCTTCTGAGGACATCACTGCAGCGGCCGTTGGTTTCAGTGATGACATCCACAGACAAAAGCAATTGGAGACATTCGTCGCATTAAACAATAACGAGGCGGAAGGAAACTGCACATTGAGGAGCTCAACTTAATTTTCAATGTTTAATCCTTACACTTACTTTCTTATAGTATGCAACTTTGCCCTAACTTATGCCACAGAAATGCGAAATGAACATGTAGCAATGAAAGTTCTTGCATGAGATCTGTGCATCTCACGGCAATGAAGATGTCGCCACCGGTCTTCTGGGACGTGACGTCATGTTGACTTGCATGCATCTACCAATTTTTAGGAGGAAAACACAGTGTCCAGTTTCAACCCTCAAGACGGAGGTAGTTTAATCCTCCGAAACGTTCGTTTTTACCCACAAATCATCACGACGCACTTCCCAGAAAACAACCGTGGGCAGAAGATTTAGACTTATAATTTTTGTTACAGGACAAAAGTTACTTTCTTCTTTATTAAAATCCTCCTCAAACAGGGCATTCATTGATGACTTTATCTGGGCTGCAACACAGTGTAGTCTGGTAGAACTTCACCAAAGTTTCAGAGGTACTTGTTGCCTCCATCATCAGGACGAGGATTAGAGCCAGAAGACAAATACAACAGAAAAGAAATGCTACGGTCAGAGTCATGGGCCCCAAGAATCATGTTGAAATGAAGGCAGAATCTTCAGTGGACCAGTGGAGAATGAAACAGCAACGGGTGACAGCAAGGCAGCCACATCCTCGCCAGATGCTGGTAAAGGACTTGAAAAGAGAAAGTTGCCCTAATAAGGGTCCAATTTTGTACCATCTCTCTCTTACATGTAACCCCCTCCCCAGGCCCGACAGTTATTCTGGCAAAGCCGTGTTAATGAACAACGTATATTTTCTGCAGAGGAAAAGATCAACAATTTGGTGAATTGTCGATGTTGGTCTTCTCAATAGTAACGTCGTGTGGACTTGTGGGTGGATGCCTCGGTCCTGAAGATGGACACAGTATGTTTCTCCGAAACGTTGGTCACTGCCATTACGTCTGCTCTACCTGAGACGCCATGCCGTTGATCTTAACAGACCGTGAAGCACGTATGAACAAGAACAACTGACGTCACTATTTGCTGCAGCTTCCGACGGCAGTGACGAAGTTGATGGTGATCTTTTGGGCTCTGACGCCGTGTGGACTGGCCGGCAGATGCCAAAGTTTCGAAGAAGCGTACTGTCTCCATCTTCAGGGCTAAAATAACAATGCTGGAAATCAGACGGTTTATATATTGTGGCAGGAAGGGAGAGTCGGTTCAATCTCTGCCTATTTCAATCCCGACCGGCCCATTCATTAGGACATCCCTCGATATCTCGATGTGGAGTAGCAAAATTGTGCCTTCGTCAGTTCAACCAAAGTTAATATGTTACACGAGTCAAGGTCACTCTGGTTACTTTACAGAATTTTGATTTCTTAAAGCCCTGTAGCAACTGCATGTACTACCAGCTTTAAAAATCAGCAAATCTCATTTCGTCCTCAAAGTGTATTAATGGGTTTTATACGATTCTCAGGATAAACAGAGATTACTTACGTGAACAGCTTTAACCAACTGACTGTTGTTATGGAAACGCTCTGTGTTTTCTTTGAGGTAGGGGTACGCGAGCATCAGTTTTAGAGGGTTTTACCCACAGTTAGTACAGAACAATCGAGTTCATTGTTTATTATTTCCTACTCTACAGATAATTGTACAAAGAATTAGTTAATACATCTTTAATGTTAACAATAGAGTGCTTGGCCTTATGCCTTATCTATAATCGTTATTTTCGTTTCTGTAGAGAATTAAACCTGTTTAAAATAAAATATGTCCAGTAACATAAACAACTCAGGAGTAATATTTCATTCTTAGATTCACTCAATATTTTATTCGTTTTCCATCTTCTTTGCCACTCTGCTGATGTCCTATCACGCCCAATATATCCTATTATCATCAATGTCATAGTGAATTTAGATAACGTCTTCAAAAAGGTTTCTTGTGCCTCATTCGGGATAATCGTCGTCGAGATCTTTGTTTTATTGTTGTTCTTATTCTCAGTCGTCTTGTTGGCCCCCTTCAACTTTCAGAGTACAAATAATTTTAAAAATTCTCTGCCGTTCTTCCTCCAGTAACAGATCCCTGTGATTTTTAGATGTAGTCGCCTGCATTCGGAAGTCCCTCGACTACACAGACGGATAGCGCTGTTCTCTATGTATTCACTTCTGCAACCACGTACCTGCATTTTATGAAAAATTAAGAGTGAAAATCAGCAAGCTTATACATCATCTAAAGCTAAAAACCAATTTCGTTAGACATATAAGACAGAGCTACAGAAAATACGTAGGCCCTTCATTACAAAGGAAACTTATTAAGACCTTTATATTCACCCTTAAACATTTTTCTTTTAAATTTACGTCGCCAACGTATAACGAACAAATGCCAGTGTTATTACGTACAGAAATTTAACCATTTTCTGCCAAAATATGTTTTTGCGGTTCTAAGATGTCAGCGACTGTAGTGTGGAATAATTATGAACGTGTTGTCTTTGGGACTCGTCGTCTGTGTTGACCTAAAATATCTTTGACTTTTGATGGGGTTGCTCTGGATTTCGGTGGAAGGGAAGTCAAAGCCTGCTACTTAAACGTTCTGGGTTTTCCCCAGTTAGCCACCAACGAATGTTCCCCCAACATCCTGTACCATACTTCATGAAAACCCTCCAATTTGATCGAGAGATGAAACGAGCTAACAGACCAATGCCCACGAGGTCGTTAGTTTACTCACACAAACACAGGAGCCGGGCCAACAGGCAACGCATGTCATTACATCACGATCTGAGGGATAGGTTAAGACTGTGAAATGTTATGTCCTGTCTGGGCTAGCCACATTCGATGTATTTCATTAAGCTGTTACAGTCGTTCAGAATAACACTTCTGTCGCTCACACAATCTGTTTGGGCCAGACGTGGATTCTGTTGCTGACTGAGTTACTACACAAAGCAGAGGCATTTTTAAGTTGATGATAATTGTACGGTCTGCTAATCATAAAATTCCCCGCCTTTTGTAGAACCCAAAGGCTTATTACGGTGTCACAAGAGACAGCCACCGGTCCAAATTCTGATCCAGACCGTATTTTATTATGTTTTAATAGTATCCCTCCATCCAAATATAGGTTACTACGAACTGTGTCAGTAGGATCTAATGGCACATATTTCCATGTATGTTCATAAAAAATTGCCCTCTTTTAACAATTTAGTTTCAAAAGTAATTTTTCTTTCAATACAAACTGTTTCTGGAGGACTGTCCAGCATAACAAGAACAAGAAGAACCTAAGGTAAGTAAACATCTGTTTGATTTCTGGTCCCTATGCAGACGAGTGCTGTCTTCTGGGGTGTTACGCCTCATAGTGTGACAGGTATTGACCAACGCTTCAGGGGTGCTTACTGCCTCCATCATCAGGTGGCACAGGACAAGGCGGCGCAACACCACAGAAGACAGCCATTTTCAAATCAACTCTCATCAAATAATAAAGAACTCGATATGGATATGAAATGCCGTTAAATCTGAGACTGCAAGAGGCCAAATATCGTGATTAGCATGATGGCGTTGATTTTTTGTGCCTCCAGAGAGAATCCCTGATCAAAGAAACTTCATTATCTGCTTTAACACCCCGACCCTCAAGTGAGATAGCCCAACCTCAATGAAGCCATGAAAGGTCTAGGGAGTCATCAGACTCATTGCTAAGCCCCACACTATGCATATTCTTCAAACTTACATTTTCTTATTTTGTAAAAGAGAGAATATTATTCCAGTGCAGTCTGTCACTTCTCTGTCACCAACTACTCAAGTTTTAGGCATTTATAAATATGAATATTTTGTTTTACATTTGTAAAATTATCCCTTGTCAACAAAGCATGGCACATTCTCAGGTTGTAGATGGAGGGGATGAGAAGGCCACCACAAAGGGATGATAGCTCTGAATCTACTGCATAAGTAGCTGCAAACACCTGTAAAGAAGTGGTCCTGTAAACTGGGGTTTGGGCGTGAGGCTAACAACTCCCACCATAACAAATCAACAAGTTGCAATATTGTGGTTAGACATATGCATAAAAAAATTTTGGTTGAAAAGCCTGAAAGGAGGCTACATCTTTGAAAGCCTAGGCTTGGATGGCAGGATAATATTAAAATCAATCTTGGGGAAATAGGGTTCGAGGGTGTAAACTCAATTCATCTGACTCGGACAGGGATCAGTTGCATTCTCTTGTGAACATGATAATGAACCTTTCAATTACTTAAATACTGGGAATTTTTGATTAGCTGAGTGTAGAATTTCCTTCTCAAGAATAACACTGCTCCATGGAGCTAGTTTGAGCCCAGCATTGATGCTGTCCTCAGCCAGATGAATAAAGCTCAAACTCTCACACTTTATGTAACATTAATTTTAATATTATTCTCCCACCCTTGCCTATATATCGCATGTGGGCTCTTCCTTCAGATTTTCTACTAACTTATGGTCTTCGTCTGTCATCCCACCCTCGCATCTTCCATGTGAACATAAGAAACACTTATGTTAACTACTGCACAGCAGACAAACAAATTTTCCAATTAGTATCACTTAGACCTGCAATTATTTCCTCAGAGAAGATAGCTGATGCCTTTCTTTAACTTCTTCTCGACCAAGATCTGGTTCTGCCACTTTTTCATGTGCTTTCCCTTTGCCATATGAAGCTCAATCAAGCTGTTTTTCCTGTTGCACCTTCTTTGGTGGCCCAGCGTCTACTACTATAGCTCATCGGCCTATTGACAACCTTTGA